GGAGCTGGGGCTGCCTTGGTTTCCTCACTGGTGCTCCTGATAATGCTGAGCCACGAAGAGCAGGGTGGACCCGGCTGCTTCTGCAATATCTCGCCTTGCCACGAGCTCAGATCGGGCTCTTGGCAGGTCACTTCATCGCTCTGTGATTAATGTTCCCTGTCTAGAACGGGAGTAATAATACCGGCTTCATCTGTCAGGACCGCATGCTCCCGGGGCAGGGATGGCCCTGCTGGCTGTGGGTCTGGAGAGGGTCCAGGAGGATGAGCTGTGATGTGACTGAGGTCCTTTGCGGTGGATGTCACCGCTAATTAAACCAGTGAGATTAGCTGCTGTATTTTTCAGAAGCACGGGAGGGAAAGCCAAAATCGTGCTTTCCAAATGGAAAAGGACAATGCTAGAGTATGAGCAAGTTCTTTTGAAGCTTTGAACATGAATCACAGTGTCAAGTAAAAAATAATTAAACTTATTTTTTTTTTAAAATGTACTTCAAAGTGTCTTTTAAGCTTCCCATTAATTCAAAGTTCTTTCTCTCAGCACTAAATAAATCTCTTGGTTCAAAAGCACAAGTGCTAATTGGTTTCTCTGAGTATGCCTGTCTGCTTGATCAATAGGGGAAGTAGTTTTTGTTAAATATTTGCACATATAGTCACATATTGTATTGCTCAGGGAGATGGTAAATGTTTCTCAAAAGGAGACTTGTAGAATGAGGATTCCAATAATTTTCTTGTGGCCTTTATGTCAGAACTAATAACGCTTCCTCCCTCCATCCTTTTGCAAAAAGCAAAGCAATTTTCCCTCGCCCGCTCCCCGGTGCAGCCGGCCAGCGTTGAGACAAGTGGTCTGTTCAGCTGCCTGTCTAACACCCCTGCCTCTAACTACAACCTCGAGCTGCCCTGAATAGAGTTTTACAGTTTCTGCCTCAAGCAGAGAGTGGCTGTGAGCCCCGCTGCCTCGTGCTCCGTTTCGGGAGGTACCCGGGACGTTGTGCGAGGTGAGCTGGGCTTGGATACGCAGCTAGCCGTTGGAGAGGGATGGGGCTTTCGGAGCCCCTGAGCGAATGCGCACGGCCTCAGTAATTTCCTCTCTGCCTCTCTCAATTAATTGCACTTTTACTGTTTCCATGTGCCTTTGGAGTGTCGTTTACTTCCAACTTTGCAACATCCTTTCTGTGCCTCACTGCTAAGTACAAGCAGTTATTTATGCTAATGGCGTTGGCTCCCCCTCTTCCCCCGTTACCTCCTTGCTTTGTATGTACTCTCCCTCTTGGTCATCTGAGCTGACCTCTAGAGCAAACACCAGGAGCCTTCTTGTCCCGCTGTGGAAATTCCTCTGTGAGCGTCTCTGTCTCTTCGTTTCTCACCCTGAGCATCCAAGGGAGGCAGGGCTCTGCTGTCGGAGTCTGCTTTTGATACCTGGAGCCCCACAGTGCCCATCTTAGCAGACCAAATCTCAACATCCCCATTGGAAGCCCAATCCTTAAAAACCACTTTTAATGCAAATAATCCCATGGTTACGGCCAAATGGATGAAGTGGGGGTATTTAGAAAGGGAGGAAAAAGGTGTAAGGCACCCAGTTCTCTCCAGAGTGGCCGTGCATCAGCCATGTGGATCTTAGGTTGGGCTGTTTGTGGACCGATTTCTCATATCTGTTCCAGCAGCATCCCAGGGCCTCACTCTTTTTCGAGGAAACCTCCAGGAACATGATGGCCTGTAGGAGCAAGGCATTGAGAGGGATATCCTTCTCACCAAGCCCACTCTGTGCCCCCAGCTTAGGCCACGAGGCTGAGGGCCATAGGGAATGGCGCTGGCTTCAAGGTGACCTTTGGCTGGAGAAGAGCCCATGGCCGCTTCCTCGGAGCTTTCTGCATGCTGGTGACCTGCTGGGCTGCAGTGCCACGGTGGTGCAGAAACACGCTCAGGTCAACTTGCCTGCTTGGTTCTTGCCAACTGTGCCACCAGTGACTTACCTATTTGCAAGACTCAGACATTTACCCCATGAAAGACAAAGCCTGTGGCTTTTGCAGGGTGGGATACCAAAGCTCTTGAGGACCAAAGCTCAGTTTTTTAAAGCAGTTTCAGATCTCTGTCTTCAATGATGCAGATAGGCAGCTTCAGGATGTCTAACGTGCCCATGGTGCCAGGCAAAGGCGGAGGGACTTTTGAAGAGCAGCAGATGCCTCTCTGCATCTTTCAACATCTGAGAATCTTGGGGAGAAGAGGGACTTCTGAGTGGGTTCCCGTGGAAAGCCTGTGTCGAGGTGAAAGATTGAGCTTGGCTTCTCCCAAATCCCCAGGTGGGGTAGGCTTGCTTCTCCCCATGTGTCCGGTTAGTTGGTCACCTAGCCCTGAAGCCCCAGGCAGGTGTCAGTGGGATTTCTTCAACATCAGAAAAGCATCCCATGATAAAATCACCCATAGAGGAGGAATTTGGGGTTTTTCTGCACACTGTGAAGTATCTGCAGGGTACAAAGCGGTTGCACACTGTCAGTTGTGCAGTGTCACACCTTGAGGCACAGTCCCACTCTGGACTACAGCCCGAGGAGACCCCAGGACCAGCCAGTGTCCATCCCCATCCCGGCGTGTGTCTGAGGCCACCCGTCCTGATTATGAGTGTCATCACTTCTGCTGCTCGCACAGCCTGGAGTTAGGATGCAGACTGAATGTTTATGGAGGTAAACATGATTATCTCCAATCACAGGCCTTAATGATGGTTATTATAATGACAGCTATTGTGGGAAGGGCATGTAATTATGTTGATTCTTCCTTTTATTGTACGTATAATAATAAGCTGTTTTATTTAAGAGTACAGGGAAGCTGGGGGAAGATGGGGCGTTTATTTCATTAGGGATTTTTTCTGATTGCCTGTTAGGCTAAATCCTGACATCTTGTTCAGTCTTTCTGGAGTCAGAAGTTCCCCTCGGTTCAGTGTCAGGACGTGAGGGTCCTTATCCTACCTAACTCCCAGGAGCACCCACTCAGGGAATGGGGCCCCAGCGTGGTAGGTGATGTTGAGGCGCTGGCCGCTTTGCAGAAAAATGCAGAGCATTCATCTAATTCCTTAATTTTCACCAAAAAAAAGTAATTGATGGGTTTGTGCTGGCTGTAGTCTAACTTGCTGAGAGGACCCCAGGGCTATCTCATAAAAAAGAAGTCGCAGTGAGCGATAGATCACTGAGATGGCTGGAGCTAGCCTGACATTTTAAGACTTAATGGGTTAATAAAGTGTGTGGTTTAGGTGTCTGTCACTAAGTAGAGTTTGTCCATTCCCTGCACACACTCATACCTTGACAGCAGTACCTTTGACCTGTCGTGCACTACCCCTGCCGCCTTTGTCTGCTCCGTCCATCTGCCTCGGCTCAGGTTGCACTCAGTGTTTATCCCCCGTAATCCAATTTAAGTTGCCATAGAAAGCAGTAGGGATTTACAGAAAGAAAGAAAAAAATCTCACTGGGTTTGCAGAGCAGAAAAGACAGACTTTTTTTCCCCTTCTTTTTATTCAGGAGAATTGCCTCATCTTGTCTCTCTTATTTTTACCATGCATTAGCGATCTGCCCTCCACTCTGTTTCTGAGCCTAGTGCGGTGGGATCCTGTCCCTGGTGGGGTCTGTATTAGGGACAGGCATTACAAAAACTGTGCTGCGGCTGGTGTTTGCCAAGAGAAGTTGCCCACGTGCATCCCAATTCTGCAAGTGGCTGTGGAGTTGGTCCCTCTGAGCCCATGAAAGAAGGGAGAAGTTGTATCGCAGGTTTGAGCAGCTGGAAACCTCCACCCATCAAGGGGCTGCTGCACAAGAGAACTGTTAGAAAAGCTTTCTCTGTATTTAGATGAAATTGTAGTTTTCTTACTCTGCTGGAATTTCTTCTTTGTTGCTCTTCTTTAAAAAACCCCCAAAACTATTTGCCTCCATCCCTGCATTTACATCCTTCAAATATTTATATGACTCCTGTTTCTTGGGTGCTTTTTGTCTTTTATGTCAGTGTGTATTTTGGGCTAATCTTGCAACAATAGCTCTATTTCTGTCATCTTCTGTAGCATCTAAACATGACTGTATGGCAAATTATACCCTGAAAAGGTGTGCTGGACCAAGCGAAGCATAACATGCCAAAGACATAGTGTTTAAACGTTCTGTTGGCAAAAGAAGTAAATTAGAATGTATTTGTGTGATGGGAAGCGAGGGTTTGCCTATTGTTGGTTCAAATTCTGCAACAACTTCTCTCTCGTGGACATCGTTTAGCGTAATTGCTTTGCAAGAAACCTTTTGTGTCGCTGAGCCAGAACATTATGCATTTATATTTCGGTCCTTAACTTGCTCTTCATTAGGGCCTGAATAGCACCATCCTTTGCCTGTTACAGCCTGAGAGAGACCAAAGCGACAGAAGGGCATGGTGTGACATGCGAGAGGCAAACAGCCTCCTGCTCTGCCAAACGGGAGAAGTGTCGCGAGGATGCCGGTGGCAATATGGTCTGACTTGGGAGCTGCCGATCCCCCTCGTCACCTCCGCCGGCTGTGCTGCAGATGGGTCTGGGGCATGATGCAGCCCCTTCTCCTCCTGGTTACGTGGGGGAGAGGAGCAGATTTCTTGAACTGGTGTAAACTTCTGCTCCTGGAGTGGGAATGGCCGATGCCCCACGCTTGTGCAAGTTTTTCTTGCCTCTTCCTGCACAGAGGCAATCTGCAGGGGGGTATGAAGTGGAGCTGAGGTTTGGCAAGGCACCGGAGGGGTGTGCTAGCCCGTCCCCTTCACCGGAGTCTCTGAAGGCAGCCTTGAAAGTCTCTGCCTGTATTGTGTCTTTGGAAATTGCACCTTGAGATGTTGAGAGCAAAGCTTTGGGAGGTAAAGCACGCCCAAGGGTTGCGTGTTTCTCTGAAATGCTTGCACCCTATGGCACTGTTGTAGCCCACTCTATTCGAAATGCTTTCATCAGCCCCTGTTTGTTGCTGTAGCAGTTGGCTCTTGCTACTTCACACTGCTGACTCTATCCTTCTCTTTTCATTTTAGATTTTGGCCATTCCTCCGAGCTGGCGTTCGTTGTGGAGCCTAGCGATGACATAGCTGTGCAAGAACAACCCTTGATCCTCTACTGCCAGGTGGAGGGCATCCAGCCCATCACCATCACGTGGCGGAAGAATGGCGTGATGATCGTGGACAGTGAGAATGCCTTTATGTTGGCCAACGGGTCGCTTTACGTCTCCCGCTTCCAGAGAGTCCGGGGAGATGGGTCCTCGGATGAAGGCGAGTATGACTGCATGGCGCAAAACCACTACGGGCTGGTGGTGAGCCGGAAGGCAAAGATTCAGGCAGCGAGTAAGTATGGGCATTGTCCCACCCACATCTCATGGGGCAATCCCGCAAGAGACACTAGCTTCCCCGGGAAGTAGGAGGGCAGCATGGTGGGTGCTTGGTGTTCAGGGAGGGAGGATTAGAGAGAGGGAAGAGAAAAAGGAACCTGGAACTGGTGTGGGGATGTGGCTGGCATCTAATCTGTGTAGCTGTTCAAGTGCGAAAGAAGAGCCGGCTAATCAGCCTTCTCAGGGAGAAAACTAAAAGCCACCTTCTAGCAGTAAATTCCCTGTCTTGGAGGGGTAGGTTACATCGACGTCATGCGGTGAAGTACTCTGTGGTTCGTCTATCTCCTACGACGGGTTTGGAAGCCCCTTTGCTGTGCAGCACGGCTGGGCTCTGCTTGACAGGCAGCGCTTTCCAAACCATAGGCAAAGACCTTCTGAAGGTCATAGTTTCTTTAATTTTGTTATTTAAGGCAGGCAGTGTGGAGCCAGCAAGGTCTTATTTACTACCCGGCGTGGCAGTGCCTTTGGGGGCAAGGCTAACAACACCAGACAGATTGTCTGGTGGGGGAGCCCGGAGGAGGAGAGAGATGAAAATGTCAGCAAGGGAATGAAATTTAAAGATGGGGAGGAAGAATTACAGGGCAGGCTGTGACTCCAGCCCTGCAACGGCACCCGGCTTAGCCCGTTGCATCACAACGGCCAGAGAGGTTGGTCGTGTTGGGTCCCCTGCCACGCAGGCTGCTGGGTTCCCCCTTGCCAGCTCTGGGTGCTGTTTGTCCCAGGACTGATGGCAGAGCTGAGATGTTGTGGTTTCTGTCCCTGTGGTGTTGGTGGCCAGCTTTGCCCACAGACTGTCTGTGGGCTCTGGGGGTGCAGCTGCTAATCCTTTTTGCATTCAACCAGAAGTCACCGCTGGGTGTAATTTATATATGGATGTGAGGACAGCTGTCCGGTACGGCCCCGAGACCTGGCCGAATGCTAGTTTGTTAAATAAGTTCTGCTGAAGGATTCTCCAACTTGTTTGGGAGACAGCTACCACTCTTCCTTCCGTACAAGCTGCTTACTACCACTCCTGTTGCATTTGCAAATTGCACCATGATTTTTTGATGCAAAGCAGGAAAAATCTACGGCAAAGTCTGGGGCTGAGATCCCCTGGCTGCGCTCCCCAAACTGGAGGGCCTTTCGGAACGCTGCCGCCCACTCTCCGCAGCACCGGGGCCGGCTGGCAGCCCACCAAGGGAACACTCTGGCCCTTGTGTATAACAATTCCCGAGTGCATGAAGTGGCCATCTGCAAACCTAGCTTTTCAGTAGTGTAAGAAGTGACATTGTCCAGGAGCCAAGGGCTTTGGGTCCGTGCCAGATTAGCAGCTGGATCTCAAACTTGTCAGTCTTGTGGTGCTAAACCTTGGAGCGCTTTTGGTGAACGGCTCTGGCGTTTATGAGGTGGGAGCTGGCTAACGCGCAAGCACGATGTCAAACTTCTCGAACCTGTAAGCAGGAGATGTGTGAGCCGGAGGAATTACCTTTGGGATAGTGGACTGTCAATAAACACTGTTATCTCGGCTCTTGCATCAATATGTATGTGATGTGCTGTGTGTCCCTGAATAGCGTTTCCTTTTGTAGCCATAGTTTCGCATGAATCAAAATGAAAGAGAGATCGTGTTGAAAATGCTCTGGACTGTATTCTGGCTTCAGGCTTGGTTTCTTGCCAGCCCTGAGAAGAGGTCTGGGTGAAGCCAGCAAAAAACAAGGGGGCACCTGGCCTCGATGCCACAGGTGCCTGCGGATAATGGGAATAAAATGGAATGTTGTGGGCAAATGTAACCTGCTGCTCAGGGTGAGCTGCCCCACTGTGCCTGAACTGCAGGAGCATGGGCTTGCACTTAGGACTGGGCTTAAATGTAGATGAAATCTCCTAAGAACAAATCCCAGTCATACCTTCAAGCCCCCATGTCTCAGGGTGGCTACACACAAGTAATAGCAATTTTCCTTGCCCCAAGTCCCAATAAGCAAGTCAAACAAAGGAGGAGGGTAATTATCCCCATTTTAGAGATGACAGGACCATTGCATCGAAGAAATGGGTGCTGGCTGCCTGGAAGAAAAAAAAACAAACAAAACAAGCGCTAAGCAGACCTTTGCGGAGCAGAGTAAATACTGCCGGTGGGTAAAACCTCATCCCAATGCTGATCTCTTCTTCCCTCTGAGCCTGACATCTGAACACAAAAGCAAAGGAGAAATAAAAACCTTTCACAAACAAAAATCTTGAAAGTTGATCAAGGCCGTGCTACTGAGGAATAAAAGGGATCTGACAGACTGGAGCCCCTCGAGAGCTCTGCTGCACTTTTCGCTGTCTTCAAAGGCAGGCTGTTAGTCTCATATCACCGTTACAGACCCTGGCTTTGTGTTGTTGCTTGGAATATAATCTTCTTGGCTCGGAGGAATGTACATATTTGCATTCAGGAAATGTGGGCTGGATATCATATTTTTATGTTTCAAATTTACTTCAACACTTGGCATTGGGTAAAATTTAACTGGAAGAATATGCTGCTCTCAGCCGCTGTGCGTGCGGCCCCGATGGGCTCGAGGTGCATGCAGTTTCCCCATGGAGTGGGCACTTAAAACCTTCTAGAAATGGGCTCATGAAATTTATGTAACTAAAATTCAGGGGAATTTCTGTATGTCGTTATTAACTGGAGATGCTCAGCAGAGGGAAGTGGATTGTGGCTGGGTTGTTGATTGGCAGTTCAGGTGCTAAACACATTGATAATATTTTTGCAGTGTAACCTTCTTTTGAACAAGTACAAGTGTGCAAGAAGCCTACGCGTGACTGAGTTGAGCAGAGGCCCTCGGCATTTCCACCCTCTGCCTAACACGCCGGTTGGAATTTTTTCGCTTGCTGTTTCTGTGTCTGTTCAAACCCTGGTGTGTTAGTTTAAAAGGTTGTGGAATGCAACATGTTTTTATAATCTGATCAGGTTATTGAATACAGATCTTTTCTTTCTCCTAATGACAGTTTCATAATTTCGCATGACTCCGAGCTGTCTTAATTAAAATCAGTTTTGTAGGCAGAATGTTCTCTGGAGGCACTGCTTGGCTGTGTCTTTGCGGGTCCCTTTGAGGAGCTGTATTTCCCTTGTGCGTGCCAGAAGCTGATGCACGCCTTTGCTGTCTGTGGATGAAGATACCCTCTGAGCAATAGTAATGACTGGAGTCCGCTCCTTTGGAAGGTGAGCTCCCCAAAACACAGCCACCTTTCTCTTCATCACCACCCCTCACTTAACTTGGCCTTACTTGACTCTGATCGTGTTGTCTTATGGCACTTCCAGCCCTTTTTGCCGATGCTGGGATTTGATGGAGCTGGTTCCACATCATCATAAATCACAGCCTGGCTGGTGGAGTAAGACCCATTGATTATATCACTCAATAACAAGCAGTTACCACTAATTGGAAATCACCATCAAACTGGGTATCGGATCAGGCTCTGCACGCATCCAGCCTGAGAGCAGCAATTTTCCCTGTTTGATCTAGTGCTATAACAAAAAAAAAAAAGCAAAGAGGGAAAGTAAGTCAATTCTGCAACTGAGCGCCAAAGAGGTTTCTTGAAGTTTGGTGAAGTGGACCTGCGCAATATTTGAAGTACTGTGGGACCTGAGAATAGCTCTGGAGAGATCTGAGCTTGTAAAGACGCTTTCCTCGTCATATCTTGCTGCAGGGGAACTGTTTTGTAGCTGAGCATAGCGGCACACATCCCTGTGCCCTTCTCTGCTCCCTTACCCCCTTCCTTTCCGCATCCTGCCCCAAATCCCGCTCCTCCAGCCCACGGTGCCGGGCCATCCATGGCACTTACCCTGCCGGCAGGAGGGCAGGACTGCTGGCCGGGGCAAGGCAGATGTTACGTCTCTTCTCTGCGTTGAGCCCTGCAGACAGCAGCAGCAGCTCCTCTTGCCCAGCCTGGGGCCAAGCATGCTCTCCTTGCAAACACACTGGCCGCTGCGACCTCCAGGCCAAGGGTCTCAAGGTCATCTGCAAAAAATAAAAGGGAAGAGATCTGGTGCATATGCATGCTTGCAAGTTGTTTTCCCTGCCAAGCTGTGTGGCTAGGGGAGGAGGTTGGGAATTGCGGGGTTTTTAAAGCAGCAAAGATCTTCCCATTGTTTCAGCTCCTCTGCACAGAATATATTCAGGGTTTAACCTGCAGCCCCCTTTCCAGGCTCTGGGGTGGTGGGAAGAGCTGCTGAGCCCAAATAATGGCAGCATTTATAAGAGTGTAGAGACAAGAAGGAAGTCTAAAAGGATTAGGGAGAGACAAAGGGGGCTGATTATTTTATGGGTCACAATACAAGGCATTAGAGTGAGATCACAAAGGGATGTAATTACAAAAGAAGGCCATACTGGGGGGATCAAACCAGGATTAGAGTGGGAAATGTTTTTACACAGTTTTGTTCCACTCATTATGAAGTTAGCATTTTAAATTAAGGTTTAAATAAGGTAGCACCAAAGTTGTCACTAAGGTATTTCCTGGGCAGTGCCACTGTTTGGATGCAGATTGCGAGTCTCGCCTCAAAACATTGAGGCAGACCTTAAACACGTGGGTTTGCTGTTGGTTTTTCTTGTGCACGTACTGTATCCGTATTGTCAGCAGAGCCCTACCTATAGCTTGTGCTTGGATCAAGTGAACCTGATTCCACAGTTGGAAGCGGGATACTTTTGTGATGACACGTTTTCGTGGGGTGAAACACGTGCTGGAGGGAAAGGTATGCTTTTAAAGCAAGTGCCCTGGTGTCAGTTTGCGGCTCTGGAGACATTGGTTGTGTTACTCCCAGGAACTTTTGGCTAATGGTCGCTTGCATTTTATTGCAGTTTAACCCCTGGTGTTGCATGCAAAGTTTCCTCCATCCACAAACGAGTTTTGGTTTTGATTTTGTTTTTTTCCGGTTGTGGCTCTGCTTGCATTTAATGCCCTTTCTTCTCAAATGCTGAGTAGAAGGGCTCAGTCCTGATGCCAGTGATGTTT